CCCCCCCCCAGGCCTACGTGAATCGGTTCAAATTTCAGAGCATCACGGCCGACGATGCCCTGGAGTTCTTTCTGGAGCACTTCCCGGAGCTGAAGAAGAAAGGTGTGGCCACAATTCCAGGTCAGTCCCGCCAGGGCATTGCCGGTCTCCTCCCAGGCGCCGCGGCCCGCTTGTCACATGCGCCGGAGGCTTGCGAAAGCCGGGGACAAACCTTTGCACGGGGCCCTGCGGTTAGCAGCAGCTGCAGCTGGCTCAGCCTGGCCCTTCTCCAGGGCGCGAATTGCGCCCGGTCAGGGACCCAGCGCTGCCTGAGGCTGCCGCTGCCTCCGGAGTCGCGGCTTCACTTGAGTTTCTTACCCGGAACCGCCTCTACAGCGAGAGGTTTCAGCCCCCTCTCCTCCTGTGCATTTCCTCGCCCTGCTGACATGGGGTGTCCCGCTTGCGAGGCCTTTTCCCTCAGCTTGGTAGCATCCTGCTGCTGACGTTCCCCACGTAAAATATCGAAGGCTGATCTAAACTGGCATCTCGTGGGCATCTGTCAGCAGCACGGGTGTGTAACACAGCCCTGTCCTTGAGCTCTTGCGACACAGGGCCGTTCGGGGGTCGGGTGTTAATTCCGTCGCGTCTTTCGGCCTTCGTTTGGCTCGGCTTTTCCCTCAGCTTGGTAGCATCCTGCTGCTGACGTTCCCCACGTAAAATATCGAAGGCTGATCTAAACTGGCATCTCGTGGGCATCTGTCAGCAGCACGGGTGTGTAACACAGCCCTGTCCTTGAGCTCTTGCGACACAGGGCCGTTCGGGGGTCGGGTGTTAATTCCGTCGCGTCTTTCGGCCTTCGTTTGGCTCGGCTGTTGTCTTTGCAGGCTTGAGAGCTGTTGGCTTTTGCATCAGTGGCTTCATTCATCCTGATTTAGCCTATGCCCATAGATCTGTAGCAAGGCAGCTGGTTACAGCCCCAAGAACACCTTTGGAATTGGACCGGGCTCCCTGGCTGAGTTTGCAGAGAGCCTGAGACAATCCGGCCTGGGAGCTGCCCCCCATCTCAGTGGGACGCTAACTCTGATGCCCATTGCTGGGTTGTGTGGAGCTAAGGGAGGGACCATTACTACTTTTCCCTCTCCTTCCAGTTGGGCCCTGCTGCTCTGGCCGTACCAGCCGGGATGTTGTGCTGCTCAGTGGCACGCTCACTGCTTGCGTTCATTTGCACCGGAGGGTTTACTGCTCGGGTCCCTAACGCGATTAATGTTTGTGTTTTGGAAAGTGTCCAAACCTCATTGGACTCTGTTCTGGGGTGGGGCTGGGGAGGAGGGATTCAGGGTGCAGGCTGCCCCAGCCCTCTCTCACTGCAGCAGCTCGGAGCCGGGTGAGAGGCCCCGCTCCATGGCCGCTGCAGCTCACAGCTGCGGAGAGGTGCACGTCCCCCAGCGGGGGCAGGTCCAGGTTCGGCCGTGTTTTGGAAAGTGTCCAAACCTCATTGGACTCTGTTCTGGGGTGGGGCTGGGGAGGAGGGATTCAGGGTGCAGGCTGCCCCAGCCCTCTCTCACTGCAGCAGCTCGGAGCCGGGTGAGAGGCCCCGCTCCATGGCCGCTGCAGCTCACAGCTGCGGAGAGGTGCACGTCCCCCAGCGGGGGCAGGTCCAGGTTCGGCCAGAGTGAGGTCAGCCTCTCCTGCCCTCCCTAGTGGGAAGAGGAGGGGTGGGAGCTGGGGCAGTCCTGGATGGAGCAGGGGGGCCGCCCTCTGGCAGCCTCTTTCACCTGCCTGGTGATTGTGTCTTGTCTGTGTGGTGTTAGGAGAAGCAGTCCCATTCCAGGCACATCCCCATTGCTCTGCACAACCCAGCCCTTCCCTTCTTATTCTGACAAGAGGAGCTGCCTGCCAGTGTGGTGGCCTGAGCTCTTAGCGTTTCGGAGGTATCTGTCACCAGACACCCTCTCTGAGATACGCTAAGTGCTGCCCCCGCTTGCCCCATGGCGGGCTGAGTCCACATCCCGAGAAGCAGTCCCATTCCAGGCACATCCCCATTGCTCTGCACAACCCAGCCCTTCCCTTCTTATTCTGACAAGAGGAGCTGCCTGCCAGTGTGGTGGCCTGAGCTCTTAGCGTTTCGGAGGTATCTGTCACCAGACACCCTCTCTGAGATACGCTAAGTGCTGCCCCCGCTTGCCCCATGGCGGGCTGAGTCCACATCCCCCGCAGGCCAGGGCCCTGCGCCGTGCGGGGATGTGTTCGCGGGAAGGATCCCAGCCCCAGAGAACCCAGCCCAGCGTCTCCTCCCCTCTGCAGGCTTTGAGTTCGATCGGTGGCTCAACACGCCCGGCTGGCCCCCTTACCTGCCTGACCTGTCCCCGGGAGAGACACTGGCAGAGCTCTGGGCAGCCAGCCCCCTGAACCTGGAGGCCATCAAAGCTGTGGACATCGCTGCCTGGAAAACCTACCAGCTCATCTTCTTTCTGGACAAGATCCTGCAGAAATCCCCTTTGCCAGGCGGTAAGGCCCAGGGGCCCCTCTGGGTGGGGCGTGCGTGGGTGAAGGCAGCGACAGACCCGGGTGTAGAGGCACAGCGGGTACAGCCCAAGTTGGAGGCTCACCTGCGACCCCCAGCTAGGTGGGGAGACGTGTCCCTGGCCAGATCCTCCAAGCTCGCTGCAGCTGGGGCTCAAGAGCGACGCGCCCGTCCGGCTGACCCGTCCCACGCATTTTCCATGGCCACGCCCAAGCACCCACTGCTGTAGAGGGCCCATTCCCAGCCCAGCTGGGAGGGCTGATGTGGGGTGTGGAGAACACGCAGCACAGTGTTTCTGCCAGGTCCGTAACCCCTTTCCCTGGAGCAGCCCAGCTCTGGCGTTCTCCTCTGATCTAGCATCAGGAAGTTGATACTCCACAGAGCACGCGGTGGTCTCAGCGGTCCGGCTGCCCGTTCCTCTGCAACCAAAACCTCCCGGGTGCTGGTGCCCTTTTCTGAGAAACGTCACCATCTGTCCAGAGGTCTGGTCCCTCTGGCTGCTGGAGCCTGGCGTAAAGTGGCTTGGCTGTGCCAGTGACTCCCCCACCCCCGTGCAAAGGCCTGTTGTAACTTGCAGAGTGCAGGGTGTGGGAATGGGGGCAGCTGCGCTCGTGTCCTGGCAGAGCCCTGAGCTCCGGCTGCCCTGGGGCGTGGGGGAAAGCTATCCACTGGCCCTTGTCAGCGTCGCGTGGGGCTGTGCTCACAAACTGCCGTCCCCTTGAAAGCACGTGGCGCCTGGCTCCCGTGTGCGCAGCCCTGAGTCGTGGCCAGTGGCCTTTCTGGGCTGTCTTGCTGGCTCTGCCCCGTTAAGCGCTTGGGCTGCGCGTTTGCGTGGGACGAGTCCGGCCGGGCTGACC